AGTTATTTTTTAAACAATTGCGTGATTCATGCAATCCTTTCTTCAATCCAACAATCTGAGAAGTAGTAACATCTGTAAATAAATCCAAATATTTTAATTAATAACTTGGTTATTATTAGAATGTCATCTGAAATTACCATGTGTTGTTAATTCATCACATAAATGTGTAAGCATATCAAACGCATTGAAACCATCACAGGCGAAATAATCAAGACCTTGTAAAGACTTTCGATTAGAAGCAGTACAACAATGTAAAATTTCAAATAGACACGTATCACTTAATGGTTTAAATTCTTCATCACATTCTTTACAATATTCTTTATAAGCTTGAATAATTCGAGTTGGTAGTAAATTGCGGATAGTATTTGAAACAACAATTGTATCACCAGAAGATAATTTTATATTTTTTTCGCCAAATGGCATGTCAGTTGTTATATGTGGAGAAAGAATGTATTGAATGAAATGTGCTATTTGACTTTCTGTATAACGTATTTTTATTGACCCATCATATTTAACAATACTACCTGGTCCTTAAAGAATAAAAATGTAATTATCACTAATTGAGCGGCAATCGGAGGATGGAGTTCGATAAAAAAAACTCCCTATTATATAAATTAGCGACTGGAATATCGCCTGAAAGTTTCTCAACAGCCCCCCCCACCACAACCACCATATTAACTTGATAACGGTAAACTTATATAACGATTAGTATAGTACAAGTGTAATTTTTTTATTTGAGAAATAAATCTAAAACACTATCTAAACTAATGCAAGTTGAAAAATTTCGATGATACGCATCAAAAACATAAAAGTGAATTTTAAAAAAAATGTTCCACTCTAAAACTTCAATCCCTATATATATACATATATATGGGTGAATTGCATTCCATTTGTACAATCAGATCGAAAAAAATCGAAAAAAAAGAAAGTGTTCATATGAAAAAACTAGCTGTATATTTTGATAGAGCATCCTTGAAAACCTAGAAAAAACTTTTTCCCCTACACTTTGCTCAAAAATAAGGTAGTCGTTGCAATATCATGAAAATGTATGCATATATAGTTATATATGCATTTTCACGGTATTCGGTCAAACTATTTTGTAGCTCTTAACAGAATGGAACAAATCATGAATCAATCGATGCAACTGGATTAGATTTATCTAACGGTGTGTGGTTGATCATCGGAATATTATAGTCCATAAAGAAACTCGCAAAAATTCATACAATATATTAGTGAAAAATTGATTATTTAGAAAGCGGAGCACGTCTGTAGCTTTTTTTTTCTATGCAGCAATGCTTCACTGTGAAAGGTATATCATTAGATCGGCCTACCGATGACAAATCGAATGGTGTATTATAAGTTCATAATTAACTTTCGTTTGGCTGAGATATTCCACTTTTTACATAACGGGACATTTTGCATGAAAAAAATATAACGGGACATTTCATATATGACTCGCCATTATCTCAGCTGTAGAACGCGACAAAGAGCTGATTTTTTTACTACAAGTAGGAAACATAGAGAGAGAAAAAAGTTATAAATTTCACGCTAAACGATCAACCCGGTAAAAAGATATTCAAGTCACAAAATTCAAAATATAACGGGACAAAGTGAGTATATATATGACTTTTTCAAAACTTGTCCGCCCATATCCATTCAAGTTCTTGATGCAGCCTAGAATTTATTTTCAGAATAGTTGTTCCTACCGGTCGTCTTTATTTTCAAACCACTCCAAGTTGGC